TCACTAACTCTTTTATTTGTTCACTGAAAATATCATCTTGGGCTTGGGGTAGAGTTCACTGGTCGAGTGTCTGTCCGGCTCAAGATCCTGGTTCCGTGAAATAGAGGAAGAAAGAGAAACAGATCAGCTGCTGTCCCCCACTCCACACACCGTGGGAGCTCCTTGCACCCAGCACCACCAGTGGTGAAAGAAGCTACCATGAGGGCAAGACAGGGAGGTTAGCCTGGGGAAGACAGCATGAGGAGCAGGGTTGAGGGTCTGGGTCACAGATATGAATGCTTGGGACTTGACAGCAGCTGTAAATCTCTATTACCAGTAGGGGACCTCGCCAAGTAGGGGCAATTACCCCACCGGCTTTTTGAGGCACATGGGCCTAGATCAGCTTATCTCAGAGCTAGAAGGAGGCAAGGTATGTCTCATCTCCATCCTATATGTCAGTCCCTAGATCCTGGGGGCAGCTCTTGGTGCCTTCCTCTGCCTCTCCCTATGTTTAGCATGGAGACTACTGGGAACTGTGGCCTAGACCCACAGAGCCCTGTCAACTGGTCTGGTTACTGGGGACGCCTATTTCCAGGGCTTCCCTGAGACTGGGAATAGCCTTGTCCCAGTCAGATGCTTGCTCAGCAGGAGGGATCACGAGTATACAGCTCCAGCCAGGAATTGGTTGGTACAGCGGCTCTGTTCACCCCGACCCTGTAGGCCCTTTACACCTTGTGCCCTGCATTTGGCTCCAAGGTGTTTGAGCTTTCCGGGTTTTCATGGTGAAAGGGAAGGCCAGTCCCTTGAGCCCAGCCAGAGGACATTGTATGAGGACAGACAGCTGTTCACAAGCAAGAGAACACAGACAATGTTCTGTCCCAGGGCCTCTTTCAGGTCAGGGCATTGAAATCTCAGCCGAGTCCCGGGGTCAAGAGGCACCTATGACCCTGGGACTCTCTAAGACTCATCGTACCTCCTCAGGGAATGGCCATTTTAGCCAAGCTTTTTTTTTTTTATTTAATTTTATTTTTTTCTTATCAGTTGCATTTTATTAACTCTGTATCCCAGCCGTGTCCCGCTCCCTCATTCCCTCCCAGTCCCTCCCTCCCTCCCTCCTCTCCACCGTGCCCCTTCCCAAGTCCACTGATGGGGGGACCTCCTCCCCATTCATCTGATCCTGTTTTATCAGGTATCTTCAGGACTGGCTGCGAAGCCCTCCTCTGTGGCCTAACAGGACTGCTCCTCCCCTGGGGGGTGGGGAGGTCAAAGAGCCAGTCATTGAGTTCCTGTTAGAAATAGTCCTTGTTCCTCTCACTATGGGAAACCAATTGGTTACTGAGCTACCACAGGCTACATCTGAGCAGAGGTTCTAGGTTATATCCAGAGATGGTCCTTGGTTGAATGTCAGTCTCTGAAAAGACCCTGTGTCCAGATATATTTGGTCCTTGTGGAGCTCCTATCCTTTCCCCATCATACTAACTCCCCTTCTTTCATATGATACCCTGTACTCTGCCGAAGGTTTGTTCATGAGTCTTTGTATCTGCTTTGAAAACACTGCTAGTTAGAGTCTTTCAGATGCGCTCAGTAGACTCCTGTCATACGTTCAATGCACATCCCATCTGTCTTTCTAAACGAGGACTGATCATCTTACCCCATGTCCGCTCTCTTGATTATCTTTTTTAGGTGTACTGATTTCATTATGTTTATCATATCTTATAGGTCTATATAAGTGAGTATACACCGTGTTTGTCTTTCTCCTTCTGGGATATTTCACTCAGAATGATCTTTTCTAGATCCCACCATTTGCCTGCAAATTTCATGATTTCCTCCTTTTTGATTGCTGAGTAGTATTCCATTGTGTAAAAATACCACAATTTCTGTACCCATTCCTCCGTTGATGGACATCTGGGTTGTTTCCAGGTCCTGGCTATTACAAATAAAGCTGCTATAAACATGGTTGAGCAAGTATCCCTTTTGTGTACTTGAGCAAAGTTTGGGCAAGTTTTTCTAATCATGGGCCACCCTACACTCCTGTGGAGCAACATTATATTATATTTACATCGTAGTTATGTTGCACCTACAGTATATCTACATTGCATTTCCCAACACTGAAGGAGAGCTAGTTTTGTGTTTGTTTTTTGCTGAGGGTTGGACAAAGGACTTTGTACTTCATCAGTGCCCCTCCAGGTGTCTGGGCAGGACACACTCTCTTCTCTGCATGTGCCCTAGCTCAAGGTGTCTTTCCTGCCTTGGATGCTTGGAGGATGGTATGTTGTTTTTTTAATTGCATTTGTTTGTTTGTTATTGTGTGTGTATGCATGCACACATGCCACAGTGCACGTATGGAGGTCAGAGGACAACACGTGGGAGTGGGTCCTCTCCTCCTACCAAACGGGTCCCGGGGATCGAAGTCCCTACGCTAGAGACATCTTGCCGCTCCGACGTACACCATGGTTCTTACCTTGATGTTGTCCTGCCAACGGTGGGCTTTCTGGAAATTCTCTGCCGCATCAGCCAGTCTCTGAGGGACAGAGCACATGGAAGTCAGGGGCTGAGGCAGACTGTCCGTCCCACGTCCACCTTCATGCTCTCCCCATGCCCAGTTTTTCCCAGGACCAGGCTGACTCAGGACCTCTCTCTCCCTCATACCATCAGGGCCTCAAAAATCCCTCAGCCCAGACAGTTCTCAGCTTGTCACAACTGTGTCCCCACAGGAGACAGGAGGCCTTCCTGCACAGATAGTCTAAGTGGCTTTTCCACAGGACCCCCAGCACTGGCCCTGTGGTACTTTCAGAAGATGGCGTAGCCTCTCCTCCAGGCTGAGCTCCACCGCTGCCCTCTACCCTCTCTAAGCTACTGTCCCCCTCCTCCTCAGGGAGTGTGAAACCCACAAGTTATTGAGTGTCTCCTCACAAAACACAGTCTCATCAGTCCATAGTGTCTACAGTCCATCCCACTGATTCAGACTCACTGTCCTCTCCAGGCTTCCTGAGGCCCTTCCCACAGGGCTCCCAGGCCTCCACTCACTTTAACCCTAGTTTGAGTGGCCTTTGACAACGAAGCCCAGTCCTGAGGGCGGAGTGCCCCAGAGCAGCGTAGCTTTGTACTCGTCCATACCATACCTGTCACTAAGCATGCACAGTGCCAGACTATGCTGAGATGTGGGGGCTGTGACAGACACAGCCAGCCCTGCTTCTCACGGTGGGCAGTGTAAAGAAATACTTAACGCCAGGGCAAGGGTAGCTGAGGGGGACGAGGCCCAGTCTTACTGCTACTGGACACTTCACAAAGGCGTATGGTGAAGGCACTCGGACCTGGCCACCCTCTGGGGCTTCTTCATTTTGGCCCCCCTCATCTCACATCCTGACTCTAGGTTTCCAACTTGAATCAGAAGGCCCCCGTACCCCATCCGTCACCTTGGTATTCTGGCACCCCACCCCTATCCATCAGGCCTGATGTGGCATGCAGGCCCCAGAGAAGAGGGTCTGACAAAGCCTAACGGAGGCCCTTTGAGCTCCTGGACACTTCCCTGGGATGGCCTTCAGTCTACCTGAGTTGCCATGTGCCCTTCTGGAACAGGCTCTCTTTTCATTGCTTGGGGGGGTCTATGTATGTGGTATATATGTGTGTGTATGTGTGGGGGTATCTGTGTTTGTGCGTGTGTATGTAGAGGCCAGAGATTGTCAAATGTCTTTTCTTTCAGTTTATTTAATAAGGCAGGGTTTCTTGCTGAACACAGGGCTCGATAATTTGGCCTGTCTTGCTAACCAGCTCACCCAGGAATCCTGTCTTCACCTCCCAAGTGCTGGGCTTACAGGCAGGCTGCCACACCCACCCAGCTTTTAGGTGGGTCCTGGGAGTCAAACTCTGTTCCTTACACTTGTGTGGCAAGTAACTGAGCCATCTCCTTAGCCCTGGTATAAACCCTCTTCTCTTGAAACCTCTGCCTCCTGCCTTCCACCTTGTCATCACTCAAACGACCTACTATCCACTGTCCTACTTGCCCCACAAATCGCATCTTTCTGCATCCACTCCACACTCAAGACCTGGAGCCTTATCTCAGAGTGCAGATCTGATCATGTGACTAGACCTCAAGCCCTTTAGGAGCTCCCAAATGCTCTTCATGTAAGTTTTCTTGAGGCTCTGACAGACCCTGATCCTTTTGCAAATCCTGGAACCTTCTTTAGGCTTGAACCCCTAGGATGGATGAGGCCTCAAAAATTCATAATCCTGTAGTACCTTTCTGTGAGGGTGTGTGTGACAACTCAGGTGGATACCACTTTACACCAGGTGCAAAGCTCTAGGTATACTTGACTAAAAGATCCACAGAGCCCAGGGAGGTAGCCCCTGAAGGGACACCTCAAAGCAGGAGCCTTGGGCAACCAGTGCCTCTCCCCTTCTTTTATCTAGTGGACTCCTGTCTTCCCATGGACCCCAGATGTACCTCACAGTGGGACTTGAGGCTACTTGGGGGCTCCGTAGAGGCCATTGCCTTTTATAAGTGTCATGTCTAAGGCAATGTGGGAACCAGATTAAGGCCTCTTAGTATTGCAAAGATGGAGAGAGGAAATGGGGCTGCAGACCCCAAACTAAACCATGGCTCTAAGGAGTCTGTTCCCCTATGTTTCTATGCTTTTACTCTCATTCTGCTTTCGGCCCTGGCTAGCGTGTGTGTGTGTGTGTGTGTGTGTGTGTGTGTGTGTGTATGTGTGTGTGTATGTGTGTGTGTATGTGTGTGTGTGTGTGTGCACATGTGTGTGCATAGTCTTTTACCCTCTTAGCACACAGTTTTGACCCTGGGATCCATGGGTCCCAACAATATGGGAATCCTCAGGCTCCATAAGCTAGCAGACAGAGTAAAGGGGCATCCAGGAGGGAGGGCCCTGTCCTTGGTCTCCTTAAGCTCACATAGTCCCATGGGCTCAGAGGCCTGGGTCAGCCCGCTGACTCGTGAATAACGGAGTTGCAATAGCCACGGCAAAAGGATTACTTTTAATCCTCGGTAACGATCAAGCCATTATTATTTTTTCGGTGTTACAGATCAATCAGTCCATCCTCGGGTGCCGGACGTGTGGAAACTGCTAAGTAGGTAGGTCTAGCGGTGTGGGAAGGAAGGACCAGGCAGTGGGATAGGGTGAATTGAGCAGGCCACTGCTGTTCAAGTTCCCATCAGGCCTGAGAGTGACAGGGTGAGCAGTAGAGGGACCAGTCCTGAAGCCCTGGCCTGCATTCAACGTGGTCTCCTCGTGCCATGGTTTCACCTCTCTGGCCCTCCAGATCTTTCTGTGAACTGCAGGTAGTAACTGATTCATGCAGAGGGCGGGCAGGCTCTTGGCAGCCTCGTTTCTCCAGCCCTGGCAGCTCTTATAGGCAGCCCGTCCACTGGGGTTTTTCTTGCAGGCTCTCGCCTACTTGAGGGCCTTTCTCTCTTATCTGCTCTTCTGCCTGGTTAGCCACCTTCTCTGGAAGTTTCCTTCTGCAGCCTGTGGGCTTCCTGTTGTCTCTACTAGGCAGGGCACATCCTTGATTGTATGTGGGGGCGCTAAGCTTATCACCATCTGCCTTAGGCTTCTTCACGAAGCCCACAACATTCAGGCCGACTTTGGGGCGGCCAAGGGGTCCTCACTCTCCTGTAAGATTTACATTCCCAGCACCTTCCTCCCACCCTGTTTAGTGCCCTTATGATGGGCCAGGGACAGGAGGACAGGGAAGGACAGGGAAGAACGCAGGTGGAGAGAACCTACAGGGTCCTCTGGGTCAAGCTGGAGCTATAGTTTGGTACTGTCCCCAGGGTGTCTGCTGTGTATGGAAGATACATTCTGTTCTTATCCTGGACCCCGAGTGACTTTCTCCTGGGAGTGACTCCCTGCTCAGACCTTTGGGCTGTGCTCTTGGAGCTGCCCTTAGTCCTCAGTCCTCCTGCTACCCCCTTTCTATGCACTTCTGACTAGATTTCTCTAGCCTGATTCACCTCCTCCCCGTGACAAATCCCTGACTCCCACCAGGCACCAGTTCCCCTTATACATCCTGGGAACCTTCCTTGTGTCTGACTTCTTGGTCTCTGAGCTCAGCGGGGGCAGGGCCTGGTTGCTATTAAGCTTAGGGTAACTTAGATGCTAGCATATAGCGGCTGTACAGTGGCTTTTTGTTAAGTTCAAGGTCAGAGCGTCTCTGGACCGGTAGGGCTTGAGCTTTGGCCCCGTCCAGCCAGGGGTGTGATCCCAGATATGTGGTTTGGCCTCTAGGGACCTCTTTTCCTGCAGGGTGAGGGACGTCTAAGGGTGTGCTGCTGCTGGGATGTTACTGACAGTGTCTTGCCTGCCCTGTGATGTCCTCGAGGTGGTCAGCATCAGAGGGAAGCACAGTGGGATTCTGAGTGAGGCTGTTCGCAGCCAAGTCCATCAGGATAACAGCAGGCATTTCAGAGGCAATTATCAGAGAGTTTCACTTAACAATCAATTTCCCTCAGCTCCGGGAGCCAGCCTTACAAGAAAAGCCAAGAAAGAAGGGGACTGGCTGTGCGCTGGGCCGGGGACAATACTCTCCTGGGGAGCAGTGCGGCCACCAGTACCTTCAAATTTCACTAAGTTAAGTATCTTTAGCTTAGGGGAACTGAGACAGACAATGGTATGAGATAAGGGGCCTGAGCCATGGACAATACCTGGAGGGTAGGCGTCCCTACACCCTGGGCTGCCATGGGCTTGGGTATAGTGGGGAGGCAAGAGCCCTCAGGTGGGCCCACCATCTTAAAAAGAGGTGGAGTGCTCCCCTGTTCTTGCCTTTTCTCTCCTCTTTCACCTGGGAACCCCTTAACCCAGAGCTGGTGGCATCAGGCCCAGTGGAAGCAACTGCCCATCAAACAAGACTCATTCAGCTGCATAGCCCAGAGGGCAAGGTTTTAGAGTTTTCAGTTTTAATTAGTTATAGCTACTCCTGCTTCTAAGAGGATATGTGAGGCTTAGAGTTAAAGGCCCTGACTTGTGATGAGCAGGGTGTTGAGATCTGGGGTACAGGGTGGGGTAAGGATGGAATGAGCCAGGTGGGAGCTGGGATGGAGGGGGGAGCTCTGAGGCAGAGGCCAGGGCTGGTGAGTCCGGAGCAGAGTGGCAGCACAGGGTAGATGCTCTTGAGCACCGACAGGCCTTGCTAGCATTAGGCCTGCCCAGCACCCACTTGGGCTAAGGCTCCACAGACTACTGCCAGATGGAGGATTGCAGGGTGCCTCAGAAGAGAGTCTTTTGTAGACGAGGGGACTGAGACAGAGTATTAGGGCCACTACCACAGCCCCCAATCAGGGAGTGGTCCATGAGGCATCTTCAGCCCAAGACAGTTGGACAATAAGCCCTTCAAGGCAGGCCAGGTGGGCCTAGCTGGCTAGGCTTACCTGTTCTACCTTAAGCGGTTCCTTTGTCCTTTACCAAGAGAGGAGATCAGTAAAGTGGTCTCCCAGAAGCGTCCAGAGCTTACCAACTAACCCTGGTGTCACTGGGTCCAGTCCTGGTGAGGGCATACCCAGAGGCC